TTTATAGTAAAAATATTGTTATAATAGTAGTTTAATTATTTTATATAATATATTATAATATATTATTTATTTAAAATTTAAAAAAAATATGGGTCTTTAGTGCGCCACATTGTTGACACGGGCGAGGACCAATCGCGCCTCGTCCAATCACGTCCTATGCGCATCAGCAGTCGATTGCAGTCGATTGCAGTCGATCGGTAAACAGCCGGGAGCGATGCACGCTCGCGTGATTTGACGTATTTGACAAGTTTTAGAGCGCGGATCTCGGGAGGACCCACTGCATGCGGAACGTTGATCGTGATATCCTTTCCTCTAGGGAATAGTATCCTTTTTTTTTTATATTCTCACCACACCATGGACACGGACAGGCCTTTACATGAGGAGTGGAAAAAACGGGTATGTAGGCTGGGTCCGCTCGTCGGACGCGATAATAATCGGAGAAGCCTTACGAATATTCCGTAATCCCGTTTGTTGGGGACACCTGGATGAATCGAATGAGTCCGCATGTTTTTCTGCGCGGCAAACGCGGCGGAGAATGCATCTCGGGCATGTTGATGACTTCTCAATATCTAATTGACACGTTCAATAATTCTGCAACGTTGCTATGAGTCATTCAATGAGGAGTTTATCTCTTTCTTAAATCGAGATCTTTCTCATTTAAATTGTACAGTAATGCTTTTCACTACATGCTATATTTACTATTGTCAAATTATTAAATCCAAATTTGATTGTAATCAGGCGTTTGTGGGACCACTGCCGGACAGTTTTCTGAGAATAGAAGAACGCAACGCGCAGTTGCAGCAGGAGGCGGCGGATCAACAAGCCGCTCTGGCTCTCCAACAGCAGATGCAAAGTATGCCGGTGACTCACGATCCTCGAGTGGGTAGACTTAGCATAACAATCTCTCAGGTAATTGTTTTTCCATAAGCGTGACGTATCCAGCGTTGTTCGAGTCAAATGAGCCAACGACGCGACAATTTGCACCTTCTCGCGCTACAACAGGCTGTCCTTTTCCAGGCCAAATTAGTGAAAAATTATGGAATGACGAGGATGGACCCTTACGCGAGGATACGAGTGGGACACTCGGTGTTTGAGACGCATACAGACTCTAACGGTGGAAAAAATCCACATTGGAATAAAGTAATTCAATGGTGAGAATTCATATCTCGTTGAGATAAGTAGGCAGATACGTAGGCACAGGTGTTATTATGACACATTTATTATTGCAGCAACCTTCCACCTGGAGTTACCCAGATATACATAGAAATTTATGACGAGTGTTCCTTTGTGATGGACGAACTGATTGCGTGGGGCCACATAGAGATTCCACCGCAGGTTATTCAGAAGGGAGAGACCCACGAGGATTGGTACATGCTCAGTGGGAAGCAGGGAGATAATCAGGAGGGCATGATCAATTTAGTTTTCAGTTACACGGTAAAAACAAAGATTGCGCTATTTTCTTCTATGTTATATTTATATCGTTAATTTACAATATTTATAATATCTCAAGAAAGCAGACTATTGTGAACTAAATAGCCATGAAATTCAGGATACAATTGCGCACATTAATATTTTCTTCAAGTATTACGTTCGAGTTTTATCTTTTCTTTTTCACATTGGAATGTGTTTGCAATAGACCAAGTATCATCCGTACACGGGTTCCTCTTCGATAATGATGGTCCCTTCTGCAACAATGTTCGGCACGTCATACGCCCCGGTAAATGTTTATGCGACACCTCCGCCTATTGCTGCACCAGCGGTCGCACCCAGCTCTTTGCCAAATGCTGAGGTCGAGTTGAAACAGGTACTTAATATATATCCCGTCTACGATTCTAGTCCGACGTTCTTTTTGTTATGTACACGTAACTGTTATGCTGTATACTTTTTGCAGATCGCCGAAATGTTTCCAAATGTTGACAAGGAAGTTATCAAATCAGTATATGATGCCAATCACGGCAAGAAAGACATTACAATTAATTCGTTGCTTCAGATGTGCGAATAAGTCCTAATTTTCTACGCAGCTAGAATGCCATACGTAACTTTATCGTATCCTTCGTTAATGAACTTTTTTTTTCTTTGGAATGTAAGATGATGTACGAAAATCTAATTTGTAATACTTCCATACGTAATAATATACATTAAGGTCGAACATTCTTTGAATATGTAAAATGACGAAATATTTCTCTTCTGAAGAAACATATTACATTTTAATTGAGTATAACATTGAATTATTCTTACAATTAGTCAATTTTGTTATATGTTATTGTTATTTCAGAGTTTATATTATCTTTTTCTCTCATATTTCCATATATATGAGTGTTTATTTATTCAATTGCGTTATATATTACATGATTTACTGGTCTCTATATATAATTTAAATACATATTGCGCGTTCTACAAAATTGTAAAAAGATATACGCTTGATTAATAGTTGCACACATACATTGTAATAAATATCAAATATATATAATTTGTACAATTATTCATATCGAAGAAATAGAATAAGCCGAAAGTGTCAGGGAATTACGAAAATTTTATACATGAACAGCGAAACGACTGTAGCTACAGAAATAATTAACAGTGAATGTGTATTTCTTACTGTTGAGTTGCAGGGCATAGAGTTGTTTTTAGATTTACAGGCACACACTTCGATATTATATCCTTCAGTCTAGAAGTATATTCAAAAAATATTATAATTATATATGTTTGTTTATTAAGTGCTAAGATATAATCATACAATCGTAAAGAAACATACGAATTACAAATCGCTTATGATACATACGTATTGAACGTAACAGCCTGATGTAACCGGCAATACTTCTGTGACTTTCCCACGAAAATAACTGACATTTATAACTACAAATATAATATTTACATTTATTTATATCCGCTAAATCCTATAAATGCTCCGACTACAAAATCTGAGTCAATTTCATTTTGTTACTGTAGAATATATTTACCTGCGCCATTGTACATGTATGTAAACTTTACACAAACGCTACCATCATCCATCTGTTTCATGCGCTCTTCTTTAATTTCATTATTTTTCCACATATCAGTTAAATTTGGCTTCGTAGTCTCTGGGAAATATTATGAAGGAATACCGCTTAAACAGAATTGAATTTATAACTGAGAACGAACATGAACGTTGCACACTTACGAAAAAGCAATGGTTCTATACACGGAGTGTGTTTAAATGGTTTATCACCATCATCATCATCATCATCAGGGTCACCGCAGTCTATCTCATTTTCTGAAATTGATGGCCCTGGCCATGTGAAATGAAAGCAATGTGGCCCTTCGATACCTGTCGCTATATACAAAAATAATAGGGTCTAATTAAGAACAAAAAGATTATAAACAATTGATAAATTGTGAAGCGTCGAACGAAAGCAACCGAATATAAATTAAATAAGGAACTGTATTAAGTAGTTATGCATCATTTCTTTGTATATATTAAGTCTCATAGAATTTTTAACACACAATATATATATATATCGCGTTATATAACACACACAATATATATATCGCGTTTTAGCTCGAAAAATTATCTTTCTGACTAAGTTTATAAGTCAAATTTATCCCCCGTATTTTTATATATAATTTATATGTCTCATGTGTATGTAATTATGTACATACACAACACTTATATGAATACGAATTGTCTCAATGCTCTACATGTGCATGTATGTACGTGGATAGGTGTTTCCCGCGATCTATTCTCATATCGGTTGAATATCGAACGAAATGCTGGCGGTGGCTTAAATGTTTTCTGACCGGCTGCTCCAACGAGCGAGTCTTAAACGAAAATGTATCGCTAATATCGACGGCCTGTTATTTGGTATACTTATATTCTTACGATATTTATACGGTATTATCGAGGCACATAATGTTATAAAAAGAAATAAATATACTTACCTAAAAACACGTACGTGAAAACCGTTAACAATACAGCCAAGTAAATCCCTTTCATTTTTGCATGTTTGAGAGCTGACTCGCGCGACGATATTTTAGATATTACTCACGTTGCTGCGAGATTAGAAGCTTATCTGATAAAATCGATCACAATCGTATAGTGACAGTGTCTTTTATATATAGGGCAATCGTTATCAACATACAGCGTGATTGTATAAAAGAACATAACGGTATAAAAATTAATTAATCGCATTGATTTAACTGGTTACATGAAAAAAAATCAGTCGTTTTGTTAAGTTTTGCTTTTTGTGAATTATACGCGCTATTTGTGTACTCCTGTCTTGGACGTTTTTGGTTATTAATACTCTTTACATTTTGCCTCGAACGGATTTAGTCTGAATTGACTCGCTGCGACCGCTTTCTATTTATATACTATACCGATTAAGAAGGGTTATTTCGCAAAATATCGGAATAAAATAATGGAGAGTCAGTACAATGACAATATAAAAAATTTATTGTAACAACAGCTAATCGAGCTTCACAATTTTTGGCAGTTATAGCATTTCATGCATTCCTTCTATCTACTGTATCAATTATGTGAATACCCACTGATATATAACACATCTATTTATTAAGGCAAGTAGATAAATATTCTTCTTCGTAGATAAACTAGATCTTAAGTAGCTTTAAGTATTATAAGTAATTTGTTCGTTAGTAATTTCTTTTTCTTATGAGATTGCACCTCGTTAAAACTCATCGTGCCTCGCTAACGCCTCTCCGAAGTCCGTCGCCTGAGATCCGACGAAGATGTCGTATTTCTCCAAAATCTCGTTCTTCGTCAGCTTGTGATCCGCATCGGTGTCCGCTTCGTAAATCAAGTGCCTCGACTCCGCCTCGGCGTGATCAAATTCCGCGGGAATAATCCACGTTTTTACCTGTTTCAAATTGGAACAGATCAGTTTAATTGCACCGAGTAGTTCTTGTAGTTCTTCGGTATATATCTTTAGTACATACACATTTTTATTTCGTACCGACGAATGATACAAGAAGTTATCAATTACCTCGTCAGCGTTCAAAAATCCATCCCCATCTTTATCTCTGTACGAGGAGAATTGTTCCTTTTCGTTCTTCACCCATTCCGGCTCCTCTTCACCTTCCTCGCCCCTGTACAGGTCGCCTGTGAATAAATCAAAGATTGAAGAACTGCTCATTGAACTGGCTTTTAGAGTAACAAAAAATAGATGATTCCCGGTTACCAATGTATTCCGCGAGAGATATCTTCCCATCTTCATCCTTATCGATATCCTCCATCGTTTCCAGCACTATCACGTCCTTCATGTGCTCCGCGTCTTCCGCGTGAAGGAAGGCGGTGAATTCCTCCTTGGTCAGAGCGTCATCGCCGTCCAGATCCGCTGTGGTCCACCTTCTGCGATCCCTCTTATACATCTGAGCGTACGAGAACGAGTCGTCCGCTTTGTCGCTCTCCTGCTCCTCCATGTCGCCGTAAACCATGTCCTTGTATTCCGTCCAAGACAGTTTCTCCTTTCCCATTGGATTGTGGGATCTCCACTGACGCTCCACGTCGTCCTTGATGTAACGTTGCTGCGTGTACATTATCCAATCTTTAAGCTCCTCCTGCGTCACGTAGCCGTCGCTATCCTTGTCTATCTTGTCAACAATTATCCCTAGCCGCCTTGTGCTCTCCTCGGGTGTAAGCTGATCGAACGTCTTGGCCTCTTCCCCGAGAAAGGCTTCATGATCGTAGGCCGGATTATGTTGGGAATGGACATAGTGATCTTTGCTGCTTGCATCCTAGAACATAATACACATTAATTGTAATGACTCTTCAAATTGCTATATTTTCTCTTATTTCCTACAACTTTAACTATGATAAAAGCGGTGCAAATTTCACAAATTCACTTTTCTGTCATTAAAAAAATTTTTTTTTTTTTCACTGACAGGACTAAACTTTTATTTAATCAATTACGGAATTATAGAATAATAGAATATAGATGGACAATAATTAAAAGAGCTCTCGGTTTCTCTAACCTTGTTCAAAACACGATGCTCGCCGTCCGGGATCGCCTGCTTCGGGATCGCCGTCGCCAGGATGGAGGAACCGATCAGGATCTGGAGGAACATGAGCGCTAGCATTCCACCGTGGTGGCACCGTGGGGCGAAGAAAAAAAAGGAGAGGGAACGAGAAAGAGAGGAAAAGGGAAGAGATCGTCGACCGATGAATTTACGAAGCGTCTCTCACGCACTGGAATGGAGGAACGACAGATGACTAGATGAGGTCTCCTCCTTCCACGGCCTTTCGCGGCTCTTCCACATCAGCAAAGAGCGGAGTCAGCGGAGAGACCATACGCGGCGCACCCCCACTTCCCAATTCCGCGCCTTGTTCATGGGACGACGCCGCCCGGCCGCCCGCCGCCGACGAGATGCGCGATGCGTTCCCCCGGCCCCCCGCGGACGAGGAACGCACGCCGGACGCACGGCGGCCGGCGTTTGCTCCCACCCCGAGAAACGAATCCGCAGCCTCCACGTGGACCGGAGATAATGCGATAACGGATGAAATTCTATTACGGGAGCCTGGCGCTCATTAAACGAAAGGCGTTCCTTCTCTTTCTTATTTTAGATCTCTCAATCTTGGGATGCGTTCTTTAAATTTGGCTTGCAAAGCATATATCTCGCCGCTGGATTTGTGCCTTGATCGAATTCAGATTGACTTCATCGATTAATTCGATCGGCAGAATTGTCCATGGTAAAATTTATAAATTGTACAATTCGTTCGGTTAGGTTTCGCTCTCCCTTCTCGCGTGTCAGACGACAAAGATAAAATACTGCTAATATTAGGGATGTTACTCGATAAGTCAATCAAGTCAAAACAGATATTATAAAAATTTATATGTGATAATTTGAGTCTGTTACAATATCCGAGGAGTAAGCGACTTAAGCAGGAGCTAAGATTGGAAAACTGCGAGATTATTCTGGGAATTAAATCTCATTCTGGGTGGCACTGCAGACTTCTTTAAAATAGACTTTTATTCGAAACGACAGTCTGTGCTACAGCCGAATGTCTGTATTCTCACCTCTCCTTTTCAATTTATTCTACTGTAGATCTCCGTCGTCTTCAAAGTACCATGCCTTACAGTTATGTTTGTATTGTGCATTTATTGAGGCCAAACAATTCGTTCTTATCGCGATGCTTCGATGGCACGTACGTAGAACGTTACTTTACATTGCCACGCAGCGAATACAAGTAATATAAAGAAGCGATACTTTTGAAAAACCGAAATATAGGAGTTTACCATATAGACATTCAACTACAACTCGAGGTGAATCAACGCAACTTTAACTTTCAACCAGTCCGTATCTGACTTTCCGGCGTTGCCGAAGCAATTTATGCGACAGCCTGAAAACTACCGGAAAAATTGTCGGTGACACCAATCACAGATGTTAACACTTAAACAGCTAAGCTGAAAAGACAATGCTCGGCGTTGTCCATTCATTATTCGTATGTTCACATTGAACCCTCCATTCTAGTGTTTTTCCGCTTCTTGGAAATTCCAGTCCTTCTAAATTCACTCCTCTCGTCCAGATACTGTTCTGTGCATTCTTTAATAAAGTCCTGATTGTAGTACCACTTCTCCATGCACGCCTTCATCCTGTCGTTTTCCCCCCTACATTTTACAACGTGCAGCAGGCCGGATTTGAGGCAGCAGTCGTGGAAGTCTGTGGAAGAGAGGATCACGTTAGCTACATTCCACTCCTCATGAATCAACTGACAACTGGGGTGATTGTAATACCGGTAATACCTTTGACTTCGTTGACGCACTTTTCAGATTTGGTTCTCTCTCGCATCAACTTGGGTACCAGCACGTCTTTCTCCACCTTCCTTAAACTTCTGTCGTTGGGGTCGCCTGAAATAAATACACGAGATACTCGGATTCTCTCTCTCTCTCTCTCTCTCTCTCTTAGAGAAACCTGATCGCGAAACCTCAGCGAACACGCGATCGCTGAACGAGCAACACGGAACGTAGACTCCAATAATCAGCCGGTCGCGCTCGACTCCGCCGGGATTAAAAAATATAACCTCTACTATCGACAATATCCTCGGTACTCTGGGCCAGCGACAAAAATTGACGCTACCGTGCGCGGGAAATGCGGAAATAGAAAGTTTACCCAGTCCTTTCGGCCCCCCGCCGAGTTTATGCGAGAGCACCGAGAAATCCTCCTTCATGTTTTCGTTGCTTTCGGAGCAGACGCAAACGTATTTTGGTTTTTGCACAGTATTCGGGTATTGCAACACGAAGATACGAAGGATTCTTCCCACTACTTAACTATCACACGTGCGTCGGACCACGTGATTGTCATGACAGACTCGTGCCTTGAACAGATGGAACACTTTCGTTTATGTTTATAAAATGTCTTTTATAATCTGCATTGACATAAAATGTGGATATAAAATATAAATATATATATATGTAGGTATAGGTAATCTACATTTTAAGAGGAGTTTTGAAGAATAAGAATCGACATAGTATTTCCCGACGGCAATAAGATGTAAAACGTGCAAACTACAATTTCATCATATTTTATTGGATATAAAAAATGGTTATATTACGTTACGTATCTTTATTTTATATTTGACATGATTTTTTACATTATATATTGTATGTTATATACAATAACATATTCAAACGGAAATAGAGAGTCAAGGGAATTTATGAATATTTATTCATATTCATTAGTATAAAATACTTATTCATATTCATATAGTAGAGATGATTCATAGTTCTTCCACCATGAAACCAGCCAACCAGCAGGCTGCGCTCGTGATTGTGCACATTTTGAGGCTTGTCAGCGGTGACTCCGAGGGAGGAACGTTCACTCGGTCTATCGCGACAACGAGGAAATTCTCTCGCTGAGGACGAGTAACCGTAACAACAACTCGTACTCCGGTCCTAATAAGTGTCGCGCGACACTTTTGCACCGCGAATCGCCAAGGAATAACCCGAAATCTATGTAGCGTTCTTTTCCTAACCTCTAAACGTCCGTCTTGTACGAGAACGTCCCGTATCTCCGACGGTTTCACGCTATAATTGTCTCTCAAATATTTGCAGAGCGTAGAACTCGAGTAACGCAGTCAGGATGGACAGGCTGTTACGATTAGGCGGTGGGATGCCAGGCCTAAATCAGGGGCCACCACCTTCTGACGCTCCTGTTGTGGATACAGCGGAACAGGTATCTGTCAAAATTTCCTCGTGCTTTTCTTCTCGTTGTCTCTTTCCTGTTGTCTTATTCTTTCCTCGTCCCTACAGGTGTACATATCGTCCTTGGCCCTCCTGAAAATGCTTAAGCACGGCCGTGCTGGCGTACCGATGGAAGTGATGGGTCTGATGCTGGGTGAATTTGTTGACGACTACACCGTTCGTGTTATCGATGTTTTCGCTATGCCGCAAACGGGAACGGTAAATGTTAAAATACAAGCGAGAAGATTGATAAAGTACATTTATACAATAACGTTTGTTTTCTTCTGTTTTCTCAGGGCGTCAGCGTAGAAGCGGTGGATCCAGTGTTCCAGGCAAAGATGTTGGACATGCTAAAACAGACCGGTCGACCGGAAATGGTAGTAGGCTGGTACCATTCTCATCCTGGATTCGGCTGCTGGCTATCCGGAGTGGATATCAATACTCAACAGTCCTTCGAGGCTCTTAGCGAAAGAGCGGTAGCCGTTGTCATCGATCCCATACAATCAGTGAAAGGAAAAGTTGTTATCGATGCATTTAGACTAATCAATCCGAACATGATGGTGAGTATATCTGGTAGCAATTGTACCCGCCGATTGTGACCTCATCGTACCGATTGCAGGTTTTGGGACAAGAACCGAGACAAACGACGTCGAATTTAGGCCACCTACAGAAACCATCCGTTCAAGCGTTGATACACGGATTGAATCGGCATTATTACAGTATTAGTATTAATTATCGCAAAAACGAACTGGAGCAGAAGATGCTGCTCAATCTACATAAGAAAACATGGATGGACGGTCTTACCCTTGCCGAATATTCGGAGCACAGTCGGCTCAATGAGAATATCGTTTCCGAGATGCTTGAACTCGCGAAGAATTATAACAAGGTGAAACATTGCGACAATTGAAAAACTTGATATGTACTATTTGTATGGTATATAGGCGCACTGGATATCTTGAATATTGTAATAATGACAAGAGTTTTGTTTTTGTAGGCCTTGGAGGAGGAGGAAAAAATGACACCCGAACAATTAGCGATAAAAAATGTGGGCAAGCAAGATCCAAAACGGCATCTGGAAGAGAAGGTCGATACACTAATGGCTACAAATATTGTTCAGTGCTTGGGAGCTATGCTCGATACAGTTGTATTCAAATAACTGTTTTCTGATACGTCATTCGCAATATGGTATTTAAAGGAAATATACAGCTTTTTAAAATAGAAATATGAGATTTTGTATTCCCGATGTGCACGTAATCAAGTACAACACGATTTAATATGTGCGCGTTAGACGTCACGTTTTTCTTAGGGGGGGGGGGGAATGTTATTTTTTACGAATTTGGTATAATTATCAAATTGAATATTAAACGTAAATTAACGTAAATTGGCACGTGGATGTTCAACAAAAAATGAGGTACGCAATAGTTATTGCTGATACCTGGAATGAATATAATACAGTAATAAAGATTGTACGAGAAATTGGGTTCGAGTCTACCTGATAATAGAAATTTTAATATTTCAAACTGCACTTTTTCTGTACGAGAAATAAAGAGGGGACTCTTGTGCAGAGCAACTGGGCAACTGCTATGTGTATCCCCTCCCCCCTCCCATAAAGTGATTAGTGGTCCTCCAAGGCTTGGGCGTTTAGGCTAACAACCTGCCACGTTAAAAATTATTGTTAAGAAACTTGAAGGAAACTTCATCAATATTACTGAAGTTCGAGGCCATGGCCCGATTTCAAACTTCAGTTTGATATTGATGATGATGATAGAGTTAGACACAGAATAGACATTTATAATCAATTTTTATCTCACATTTTTTGTTTCACTACATCAGCACTCGCGTCTTCTTCTCTTTCTTTTCTTGCCAATGGTTACGTTATTTTTTTCCGTCTACATTCTTGAAAATATAATAAATTATTATTGATACTCAGACATCTGTGTGCAATTATAATCTATATCAAATTATATACATGATTTATGTAGGTTCATATATCGTGGAGAAAAACCAAAATGCATATAAATAGGTATGCATGATTCCTTTACGATAAAAAAAAATAAAAAAAATATATGTACAATATATTCTTTCAACTTAATCTTAAGAAAAATCAGAATACAAATTAGAGAATACTAGTTTAGACTCTAAACTCTAAACTTTAGACTTGTACATTCGCATCTGAGAAGATTTATATGAAGAATAACGTAAGAGAAACATCAGAAACTGTAAAAGAAAGAATCTCGCAGATATTTTGTATTTGTTTATGTTCTCGGAATAAAACTGTTTATTGTATAATATACAAAATTGTCTTAATATAATCTAGAAATAATATAATTCAATAAAAAAATTCAATAAGTTTTTATAAATCTAACTCGAGGTAGGTTCTTGATCTTTGTCCTTCTTCTTCTTCTTCTTTTTCTTTTTCTCTTCTTTTCCTGCGGATTCCTATAACACGTAAATGCAATAATATATAATAATCTCTGATTGTACATCTAATTATTAGGACCAATTCAATTACCCCACTGACAGCTTCTTCCACTGCAGTGGCAGGTTCTTCCATTGCAGTGGCAGCTTCTTCGCCTTCCGTGTCATGTTTCTCCTTCTTTTTCTTTTTCTCTTTTTTCTTCTTTTTATCTTTCGGTGATGTTTCTGAATTATCCGCTGTTTTTTCTACTACCGTACTCGCGTCTTCTTCTCTTTTCCTTTTTTTGCCAATGGTTATGTCACCATTCTTTTCCGTCTACATTTATTGAAAATATAAATATAATCTTTCATATATATATATATAATATATTTATAAAAAATAAAATATTAGAAATGATATTAGAATAATCGACTTGCCGTTGTTGATGCTGTTGTTAATGCTGCTGCGGATGTCGTCGGTGATGCTGTTGTCGTTGACAATTCGGCATAGTCTTTGTAACCATGTAACCATTCAGCAGGTGTGTTTTCATTAGGTTTTCCATGTTTATCTAACATCCCTTCAACTATCATACGTTTCTTTTGCGATGCTTTGGGTCCCAAGCCCCACTTCCTCGGATACGAATCTCTCTCCATGATAACTCTTTTAAGTTTCGCAACTACTCCATGATCACAGGTAGCCATGGTTGAAGAAGACATCAAAGCTATGGCTGATATATATACATATATAAGATAAGTATTGTTTGAAGACTACAAGATAAAGTCAAATATTTTAAAGATAAATATAAAAATGATATTTTGGGCATTCAGTTAAATATCTTTGAGTAAACAATACGTGAAAAGCTAACAATTACGACACATATCTCACTGTTATTTCGAAAATATACTTACCAAGTGCCACGGCTTCGCCCTTAGTAGTCACTATTACAATTTCCTTATTACACTCTATATCTTGGTCATACATCAAAACGCCCGGTAGCATTATTTTAGCTCCATAACAAATTGCATTCACCTAGTAAATTCGATATAATACTGTTAAACAACAGTATTCAATTTCCTTTATTATCAGCGCAAAAAGCAACGAGTCAAATACATACGGCGCTGTCCTTTATGATGATTCTTTTGTGACCCACTAGCAAAGATTCCAGCGGCTTTATAACTCTTCTTAGATACGATTCGTCCCCGTGATTTTCATACATCCACTGGGCGTCGAGAATATCATGCATGGTAACCATACCATCCTTTTCGGCCTGAACGCCGGAACGACTTCTTCGAAGTTCTTGCATGTGACAACCGGTACCTAAGAAGAGCCCGAGATGGACACACATAGTTCTAATATAGGAGCCAGCTTCACAGCTAACGCGGAATACTCCCATATTGCGTTCCTGGTCGTAATCAAGGAACCAACTGTCGTAAACTGTCCTAACGCGGAGTTGTCTTTTGACCGCTGATATCAGCGGCGGCCTTTGAAATAGAGCACCGCGCAATTTTTCCAATGCTTGTTTCACCTAAATCATCGCATTAGTGTGGCATCAATATATGAAATACTGTATATAAGATTGACACACATAACGATGACACCACATTTGGATAACAAAGAATAAATAAATATCAACATTTTCGCCGAGAGGAATTTTATGCTTAATAAAAACTTTTGAGTTTTGCACATTTTGTACCTATGGGCGTAAAATAACTCAATGATAGAGTGATCACCTATCAAACGAAAGACTCGAATTCAATTCCCAGCCCTATAACTCAACTATGTAAATGTAATTATTATTATTAATATTATACTATATTTATTTATATAAGTAGTTTATTCTATGTTACAAAGATTTATTCAAATAAATATTTATTTATTCTGCGTTACCCATAATTACGTATATTTACCTTCTGTATACTTTCCGGGGCGGAATGAAGCTTAAACACAGCAACGTATTCCTTCCCGGCGGACTGCTGGGACTTGGCCAGTCTCGTCGCCTTGTCTATGCAGACTATCAGGACCCCCGACACCTTGGGATCCAACGTGCCGGAGTGGCCGGTCTTCTCTACCTTCAGGATCTTCTTTATCCAAGCCACTACCTCGTGCGACGAGGGATTGCACGGCTTGTCCAAATTGATGCAACCTGACTTTATATACTCGGACAAGCTACGATGTAGCGGTGTAGAGCCGCTTGACAACGGGGTATAGTGATTCGTGCGTGTACACATCTTGTCAACATTCTGCAATAGACATAGTAAGAAATTTATCTCTCAATTTCATCAGTTATCAGCGATCACGTGTCGCAAACGCGTCTTGCGCAAAGATTTAAAATACCACCTTAAACAGCAATGGCCAGTTTTCACACTTGAGCTTCACCTCCATTTTGGAGGGTTCGATCTCGCACTTCGCTTCCAACTGCAGCTCGCCAATCGTCTTCTTCTTATCCTTCTTCTTACTTTTTTCTGCAAGAAATTTAGGAGATATAACCTAATTTGCTCCAACTTAACCCCTATTAAATAAATAAAGCAGGCTAAATTTCTCGGATTATAATCATCGAGGCGAGCGTAGCGAGCAACGTTGCTCGATTTATTCGTTTGCGCCGATAATTTAAACAGTACTATCATCGTAGGCGACCGACGCTGCGCCGGACACGTGTCCGTCATAAGATTGCTGCAAGACGGAGTTTGATAACAGAAACGACGCAATCCGGAGTAATGTAGCGAGGAGTAATATATCGAAGCGATTCCCCGAAAGAACATTCGTGCGAGAGCGATCTACTCACCTTGCTCCATTTTGAAGTTTGCTAAAATACGTGCAATTCAAACGCCGAATGCCACGAAGCGTACGAGAACTCCGTGAAGACAACGTGGAGCGGTAAAATGCCAGCATCTACGACGCAGCATAACCTCCCCTGGTGTGCATGCGTACGTGCGTGCACTGTTTAATTACGTCACGTGTAACCAATCGCAGCCGAGAAAAGTAGCGTTTTCACAAAATTTTCATTGGGTGATTCCAGTATAATCCTTCACCGAATGGCCACTGCAGTCGAGTGTGATTGGGTCTTACTTTCAGATCCAACCAATCACATTGATGAATTGATTTCATGCTTGTATCGAAATGTATCGAGGAAAAGAATCGCTTGGTCTCTCGAATCTCGAGTAATATCGCGAGAAGAATATATCGAAGAGTACGTTTAAATTTATTTCGATATAAATGCATTTTGATGTTGACATTGAAGTAATTAGATGTTACAGATTTTTTCATCGCCTCCATTATACTCTGATATAAATAATGTTTGCTATTCATCATCATTGCAATAAAAAGACGATGGCGATATTGGCGATTGCCCGCTGTGACGTCACGAATCAGCTGAATATCAGGGTCAGTATGCCACTGATCGTGCGCACGTGCGCACGACGCATGCAGGAGATTGACAGAAAGGGGATGCCGAAAATAAGGGTTGACAAGAGACTGACGGAAACAAAGGATGATGCGGAATAAGATGCATCCCTACTGGAATTTCTGCCGCAGGCGGGACACGAGAAAGTATATACTTTCACACTACAGTCGAGTTCGTTTCGTTTGTCTTAACGCGCGTCAGATGAATTAAGATATCTAAACGTTTGTTAATCCAACAGTTTCCGACTAACAGTACAAACCGTCATGGGTGAGCGAAACGTCAGAATGTTAATTTGCCTTCTTTCCAACACGGCGATCGTGCGTCCTCGTAAAAACCTTTTACCCGACTCCACCGTCGCGATAGTTTATTAATACTAGATGTAAAGAGTAGGCTGAGTTATTTTGGGCCTGCGTCCGCTGCCGCTTGCCGCTGCTTGACCTCGGATACCCGGCATCGACTCCCAACAATCTCGATGTTGACAGTCACCCCCTGGCTCCGGTCGCGTCTCGGAGCCGCTCTAATTTTTTGCTTTTCAAACATGGATCCTGATCCCGTAGATATGGCGATGGAGGTCAGGAACAAGCGCATTCTGCACTGGAGCTGCCGGGGTCTCACAGAGCTCCCAGAGGTGATAAGACTGCACGGTGGTCACGTCAAGGAGATATATCTCAAGTGGAACGAGCTCACCACTCTGCCTCCCTGGATCGCCGAGCTGTACAACATGACCAACTTGTACTTGTACAATAATCGGATTGAACAGTTGCCGGTGGAACTCGGCGAGATGAGCCAGTTAACGGTGTTGGACTTGAGTACCAACAGATTGCAGCTGGTACCTGCCTGCATCGGCAATCTGAAGAATCTGAGATATTTATCCCTTGACAACAACCTCATAGAGAGATTATCGGTTGGTAAGTTTACCGAGATCACCAGACTGTTGTAGAAAAAAAAGGATTTATTGATTTACATGAATAAAACAAAAACAGAATTAAGTCAACTGAATAATCTGGAAGTACTGTCCATCTCGGGTAACCAGATTGTCACCCTACCAGAATGGATCGGCTCCTTCCCAAAACTTCGAGAACTATACGTGGATGGCAATCGATTGAGGGAATTACCCAACAGATTAACTATAGCTCCTAATCTTACCCTGATCTCTGCGTGTGAAAACAGGTTGTTATTTGCATTAACATTCTGCGAAACAAGTATTCCGTCTATTAGATCGAATTGTAAACTTCGCACAAATTAATTAAACTATTTCTGAGTTCTGTATCCCAATAACTGCTTTTCTAGGTTGACATATTTGCCATTGAATGGATTTCTATCGGCTCCCTATATTCGAGTCGAAGGAAATGAATACTTAAATTATATATCGTATCCGCTTCTACAACAATTATACCCCCATTTAAGGCACTCTCTTATCTTTTATAAAGACGCCTGTAAAGACGTGACATCCAGGTAAGCTCGTTACAGATGTCAACTAGGAATAAATTATGCGCGAATGGAAATAAATCCTGAACAACTGTTACTTTACTTTTGAAGTATATATGTATATACTTCATATATATATATACACGATATAAAGTAAATTTATAATCTATGTGTATATGTATATATAATCACAGATATTTTAAGACGCATTATGACACAAATGGATTAAGCATAAAATTGCACATAAAAACGAAAGATTTTTTCCCAATAAACTACGATGCTACAATCGAATTACCACGGCAGCTGCTAAAGGTTCACGAGGTTCACGAGAATGTGACTTGCTCCCTGTTGGAATTAGCGCTGAGAAAAGTTTATACCGAGAGGTAATTCAGAGGAACCTTACAAATAGGAATCTCGTCATTGACATTTTGCAAAAATATAAATATCTTGCAAATTTAACGCAAGTACATTTCAGGTATAAGCACACACTCGACATTCCCGTTTTATCCGAAAAAGGGAAAGTAACGGTATTCTACGAACCGCTTCTTAAAAATACCAAACTGGACTTTATATTGTCCACGAATCATATTTTGTATAGTTTATTAACGAACGGACCCACTAGTATCTGCGTAAATTCTCAATGTCAGCAACCGATATTCACAGAGGCGTGGATCATCATCGATATGTGTAATCCCACCGTATGGCGCACAATAACGATCGCTCTATGTTGTAGCAGAAGGTATAACGTACAAAAGAATCGTGTAGTAGGTACCTGAATACATCAGTTTTCATATAGGTTTTCTTTGAATTTGCAGTTGCGCCATTGCGTTCGCACACTCGAATGCGACTAACAATCCTGATTGCCACTGCATCAATTGATGAACCCTCCTTGTTAGGTATCTAATTAATTTGTAAATAAAAGAGTATTAGAGAATAAAGAATTCTTGCGCGTTTAACCGAAATCTTGTGATAGTAGTTTGTAAATTAAACCTCTAGCTTGTTGTAATTGTAATTTATTTCGCAGCGTCGCGGCTACCAATAGCGACTCTTCAATAATGCCCAGTAGGAATTCAACGAACAAATCCCATGACATAACGGCGGATTATCGAGTTAAATTATTACATGTAGTTTCTTTGAGGTATCATTATTCAAGACTAGTCTCACTAATAACATCTTTTTTTTTTTTTATTAAAATATACGTTTGTGATTATGACTCGATGTACCTTTCATGCGACATATAAAAATTCAAGTTCACTATTTTGCTATATTTTCGCATTGAAATTGAGTCGCAAAAAAAAAAAAAAATAATTTCTATAGTCTCTCACTTCGTGGCTGGTGACTCAAATCGTCCACTCAAGCGATCAGAAGATCCAACGCTTTGTCACGATCGAAATTACACTTTACTAATGCCGCGAAAGCTTCGTCCTCGGGAAATCCTAGATCCTTCAACGTGCACAAATTTTCGCAGTAGGTCCTCGCCTTGGATTGATCGTGCTGCGCGAGCGTCAGCGCTTTCTCGGCATAATCACTCGGGACGCCAATCTCCTCCAAGGATTGAACGGCCAACAGGTATTCCACGATCTTCTTCTCGTTCGCTCGGCCTATTTCCAATACCGCGCGTGCCGCTCTGCACTTGGGAAATCCCATATCGTCCAGTTGCATGACTAATTTTAGATCACTCTCCGTCATGCCCGATAACAAATCCGCCGACGGTTTCTCGTGATTCGACGTCGAGTCGTTGAGCCTCGTGGTAACATGCGCGTCGTTGTCCGGACTCTCCAAATCGGGCCACGGCTTCCAATTCTATCGCAAAGAAAAACTGATCGAATCAATCATATTATGCGATAAAGGAAAAAAAAAGAGGATTTCGTTACCTCCATAACAGGCCGTTCCAATTCCTTTTGAAGTTCCTGCATTATTGCCGAAACGCTACGGTGATTTTCGTTGCTATGCGCGTCCGCGTCGGCTTCATCGTCCGCTGGACTCTCCGTATCGGCTTTCTCCTCCTTACAAACCTCGGACTTGTCATCGACTCTTAATTCATTTATAATATTCTCCAGTTTTCCCGCGGGTACCCATTGTAATCTAGGTTGTAAAACCTGCGATCAAAAAGTATCAAGTAAGATAAATTCGATCGTCCGCCGAGCAGTCGTTTGCGGTACTTGTTCGAATAAGCTAGAGCGTAACCAAGCGTTTCATTAACCTGCGCTAATTCCTCCATGTCATTGATGGTTTTTAATTCCATATTGTCGAAGGGGCTGCTCGTGTCGTTGTCGAAGTCGGCGAAGTCCAGACCCCCGTTCGTCTTTACGTGGAGATCCCGAAGGTCGTTCGCCGGGGGTGACAGCGGCTGCGGGGTGAGTATTGTTTCCGATGCGGGTGGCGCATTGATAGGTTGCTTCGCGCAATCCAGCGGCGGAGGTGACGGAGGAGTCTCCTCTTCCTCCTTCTTCCTCTTCTCCTTCAATCGAGCCTGACGCGCCTTGCTGCAGGCCTGTCTAGCCTTGCGCCACTCGCACATCTGATCACAAATCAATTAATCAGGGCTAATCAGGTCAGGGACAAGTTCGCTTGGAAACTGTCAAGTCATGGGACCATCCGTGTACATTGCATAGATTATTAAAGTATCGAAAAACGATGACTCCCTACCTTCTCGAGTACCGATCTCTCCAAGCTGAAGTCGTACACCAGCTTCGACACATCGGGCAATCGGTTGTTGTACGGCGCGGGTAGGCCAATCTTCCTCGGTGGTTTGTAGGCCTCCGCGATCTTGACGTGGACCCCGTCCATGTAAGACGCGACCAGGTCGCATTGCGCCGATACGGAGGGCCGTGCCATCGGCCCCCACAACGTCAGGGCGAACGTGAGGGAGTGACGCGCGACCCGCAGCGGAGATCGTCGCTCTACTCGCCGATGCTCGGGTCATAACCTAATCTCCGTCGCGATAAATCTCGTTTAATTGCGCGTGTCGCACGCCACCGACACATCTCGAGTGTATAATTACGACATAATTAAATGCCGGATTTTCTTCTTTCTCTCTCTCTCTTTCTCACTTTTGTTGTAGCTTGACAATCGTGAAATATCCCTCTAACGGTCGAGATGGCGAGAAAACACTTCCATTTGACACTTGACAGATCAGATTCTCGCCCTGGCGACAGAATATCAGTTGCCAGCAATAATAACAAAAAAGGGAGAAATCTGTTGTGAGTTAGAGAGGTTTATCGATATTTGGTATTAAAAAAATCTTTATTTGACCTTCTATATTCTTTTTCTATTCGAAATTTCGTATCAATTAATATAAAATAGAAAAAAAAGTATTAACTTTTTTCGATACTACTTTTTTTTATTTTATATTGATACAAAATTTTAAATAAAAAAGGAATAGAAGGTCAAATAAAGATTTTTTAATATAATAAATAAAAAAAATTTTTAATCAACGATTTTATCGAAGACAGCCAGCTGTGGTTAAATTTTCGTGATTATCAAGTGCAGCTCAGTAGGTCTGAGATTAATTGAAGTGTAAGGACATTATCGATTGTTGATGAACATTTTTTGACTGTCGGTAAAACGCTTTATGCGCATAGATGGCGCGCGCTTTATAATCGGGAGTGCCGAACAGTATCGCGCGAAAGAGAATTTTATTGATAATTAGTCCGCGGGCGATTGTGAATTTATTATCCGCGAGTGTTTCTCGCGAGTGTCCTGTGCGGTGAGAAGAGAAGGAGGAGAGCCTGACGTCCTGAGAGGAGGAGGAGGTCCGAGAGAGACATCGGGCACCGGCGGAGCAACCTTGGGGTAAGTAATATAACCTCTGCTTAGCTACATAAAATTAATAATTTGTTTCTATTTATTCGAATTGTTACATTTTGATAAGTTAAAAGTAATTAAAGACAGAGAAAAATTATCTAAGATTATATTCTTGTAAAGATCTTTTTCGGTAAACAGATAATTGTATTGCTAAATATTTTATTTAAAGATATGACTTATAGGCTGGATTCGGGGAGCGCGCTATTAGCGCTATTTGCTTATTCTATCCTTGTGTTACTTCTGATGAGCGATAAAGACAGAATGATTTAATAGCGCTAATAACGCGCTCCCCGAACGCAGCCTAGAGGCCAATATAATGAATTAAGAATTATCTTTTGAAATGTTGATTATTTTGAGCGCTTCTTTAATTTAAATCTTATGTTTGTATGTTACAGAGTATCATCGTAGCTATGCGGCTGATAACTCCGCCCGTTGCGCATCGGTCGGTGAGTGACGAATTTTTTTTTATAATGGGGTAACGAATCTGTGTGAATATATTAGATTGTACATTATTTATGTATTATTCCCATCTAATAATGCAGATAAATGCGACTTGTCACAGATCCGTTGCCCTCTGAAATGGATAGACTATAAATCAGACTAGGTTAAATAATTAATCCTGGAACTTTATCATTTATCAATTTATTGTGCTTATGCGAGAATGCTCTCGCGTTAGCACATGTCGAGTTCACAACAGAGCTCGTTATGTCGATGCATCGTTTATTTGATGCAGCATCTAATGTTTATCGCATAGTACACTAACCGCCAAGTGTACCCCATAGGTGATTTATTGGAATTTTGAAATATATGTATATTTTATTGTCAAGTATCTATATTTGTTATCAATTAACTAAATTTATTAAATTAATTACATTTTTAAATTTGTTTTTAAAATAATTATTGAAAAATAGACATAGAAAGAGATAAAGAATAAAAATAAAATTTTACAAGAAATAGAATATTTTTTTTATATGAGCTGTCTCATGTCACTTGAGTTTTCCCTTGACGTTTATTTTTCGGGGAAATAAGGTTTTAAAAATATTTCTAGATATTTTTTAGATATACCTACAATAATAATAATAATTTTCTACAGATAGGTAATAGATAGAGATAGCTTACGTGTAATTTAAGAAATAAAAATTAATAAGAGAAATATCTGTGAATAAAGAATAGATAGATTCAATAAAATAAAATAAATCAAACTATTACATATAAAAAAAGTTATTGTTACAACAATTTGTATTTTTTCACAAATTATTTTTTTCCTTTTTTTCTCTTTTTCTTTCCTCCAGGATTAAATATTACAAAAATTGGTGCAAGAAAGCAAAATGTATAAACAAATTTAACATGGATGTATCACGGATGATCGAGTGAAAAAGATCAAAAGATATTTTAGTTCACGTTTCACATATTCTTCTGAAGAATCTTATTATATATAAATTAACAATCGCATTAATGATTGTTAAAAAATTGCATATTTATTTTTATTTATATATACATATATATAACGCGCTAATTTTATCCTAATCTTTTATAGTCTATCTATCTAATGGCTTGAGTTATTTGCATCAATAAATGAAATAAAATGACATGAGATTCAATAAATATTCCGTCGCGGGACAGAATAATTTCTTTATATAGAAATGTCTCAAAACTGATAGTTTTTATATCAATTATACTAAAATGCATAATATAATGTGAAATGACACATATTTCATATATCGTATTAAATGTAATTTTAATAACATTTTGCAATAAAATAACGAGATGTTTATATGAATATACATGATACCTATATGTGAAAATTTATAAAGACAAATGTCACATGCGCGAGAATACGATAAATTCATTATATTGATTATTGCTTGATACTTTTTGCGTGAATATATTGCTTCGGAAATTATCGTCCCTTTTGGATCTCACGTCATTCATTCTCGCGGTTCGGTCCGCGGTTCGCGATTTGGATTGTACTAAAATTTTTTTGTTTATGTATTAATTTATTGATCGAGTGATCAGTTAATTTTTAAATTTCGGTTGTTTTATGTTTTTACGTTATAGTATTTAAATTTATATATTCGCGCTCGAGATTAAACGCGACAATTTTGATTAGAGAGAATGCGGTTTATAGTTTATATAAAAAAATAACAAAAAGGGAGAAGTCTGAGTTAGAGAGGTTTATCGATATTCGGTATTAAAAAAATCTTTATTTGACCTTCTATTCTTTTTCTATTCGTCATATCAATATAAAATAGAAAAGAAAGTATTATCGACTTTTTTCGATAATACTTATTTTCTATTTTATATTGATATACGAAATTTCAAATAAAAAAGAATAGAAGGTCAAATAAAGATTTTTTAATAATAAATAAAAAAAATTTAAATCAACGATTTTATTGAAGATAGCCAGCTGTAGATAAATTTTCGTGATTATCAAGTGCAACTCAGTGAGTCTGAGATTAATTGAAGTGTATAAGGACATTATCGATTGTTGACGAACATTTTTTGACTGTCAGTAAAACGCTTTACATGCGCATAAAAGACGATAACGCGAACTTGAATACTGAACATTTAGAATAACAATACGTGTGCATGTATATACATATATCTTTTTATTATAAATATTTTTTTATATTACACTTGTACTTATTCTAGTTAAATGTTTAGAATAAAGCGCATTCATAGATCTTGTTTAATGCACTATTTTTAAACTATTTTTTTCGAAACTATTCTAAAACGTAAAATATAATAAGAGAGTTGAAAATAATCCTTTTACTTCGAAAGTTTTTTTATTTCCAAAATTTGTAACATACGTGTTTTATTTATTTCCATGGTAATATCATTAGGTTTTACATTAAAACTCGAGAATATAAATTATTATTATTATTAAGATATTTATATTTGATATAACACTAGAGATGTAAGAATTTCGTTGCTTTCCGTTTATGAACGGAACAATCGTTTTTTTTATTTAAAAAATAGACAAACGCACGGAATATACTATCAATTAGCTTTGTTATAATGATTACACGTTACTATGATTATACTGTAAAATATTATTTTCTATATTATATTAATTTAATTGTTAATTATCATTACACTACGTATTCCTAAACCATAAATAGACATATTAACACTTAACTAAAAAATGATAAATATTAACGCAATTGTGATTTAAACCAGTCAAAAAATAAATGGATAGTTCAATCGATGGTTTTTGTCAGTCGTTTTACGGAGACGATTTCAAGCATTTGACGCATGCTCGTGACTTCATCGCCACAGTCCGTCATAGTATTTTGAATATGTAGTGAACAGCTGATAATAGGCACGAGCACTATCTTTTGACATTGTATTTGCATATTGTATTGATTGTGGCTCGATTATTTTTGATACATTATGCATTAATATCAATCTCCCACTCTTCATGTCGATTTTCTTTGTCTTATACCATAATACCGCACATATAACACGGACATAACTGGTAACTAACATAATAAGGTCTGGATACCGAATAGCAAAGAGTACCTATATCCCTTATATCCAACGAGATTACCCGGATTTGACGGAAAAATAAGATAGGATTTGTACATGCATATTCCTCATGAATTTTTTAAGTATTCTCAGTACTGTGAGTCGGGGGGTATTCTAATACTCATTAGATAGTAATACTTATTTAGAACGGTGGATGTCGTTAATTCTTCCCAGAAATTCTTCATGTATTTATTTTTCTGTATGTATTCCTTAAAACGAAGTCTCTATGAATTTCTATTCAGTGTTATCTGGGGTACTATAGTGAACAGCTGATAAAAGGCACTATCTTTTGACATTGTATTTGCATAATGTATTGATATATGTGGTTCGATTATTTTTGTAACATTGTGTGATATGCATTGTCAGTCTCCCATTCTTTATATCGATTTTATGCTTATTTATAAGACAAAACTAGCTGGTCGTCAAAAAATACGATCGTGCCTCGCGTCAGGTATGCACGCCGCCGCGCCGCGCCGCCGCGCTGTCAGCAGAAAAGCAAACCGATTAATGGTTTTTACGGGAAACCACTCTACGTTAGTACTGTTCGAGCTGTCGAGGCAACAAACTCTCCTAGATCAACAATCCAAATTTTATCATTAATTTACACGAATCGCATATTCGAAGAAAATGTCCCACGACTCCCACGTCGAAGATTCTCAGAGATGGATCAACCAGGTGATGGCGAGGATTATCGAGAATCTTGGATTGGACGTTGACAAAGCTCGATACGAAATCTCCAAATCTATCAACTTTCTAGTGACAACCATATATTACGTACGCCTGCAGTTTAAGAATAAAGAAAACGATCAGAACGAGGAATTGTCTATGGTGCTAAAAAGACCCACGAAGAACTTCATCCACATAGGTCGCATCGATTTTCAATTTGAAAACGAGATTCTGTTCTATCAAACGTACATCCAACCGAACGAGAGGCATTTTTACGCAAGATGTTACTACGCCGAAAAACGGTCGCCCACCGATTTCGTGATCGCCCTGGAGAACGTTAACGAACGAGGATATCATTCTTGCTCGTACCCACACAACGCTCCTTTCGAGTACACGTTGGCAGCGATGCGCGAGTTAGGACGATTTCACGGTAAAGGGTACGTCATGAAGGAACTGCAGCGGGAAAAGTTCTTCGATATCGTGGCGCGACTGCAAGAGCCTAGATACGCGAAAGGATACGTGATGGAAGCTTGTTTCAATGTTACGGCGACGCGATCGCTGGAATATCTCCGCAGACAAGGCTACGATGCAGCTTTCTGCGACAGGATGGAAGCCATCCTTACGAACGCGTTTGACGAAGTGATGATGAAGATAATAAAGCCGCTTGAACCTCTGGCCACGATGTGCCACGGCGACTTTCTATTGAACAACATTCTCTTCAAGGCGGATGAGGGTGGACGATATCGCGCGATGCTGATCGATTTCGCGCTTATTAGATATTCGACGCCCGTCGTCGATCTCTCCACGTATTTCTACAACTGTTGCTGGAATGAAGAGATACGAGAGAAATTTTTCGACATCATGCGGGCTTATCACGACGCGCTGATGGAGTATTTGCTGGACGCTGGCGTTCAAGACATTGAGAAATATTCATATAACGCTCTGTTGGACGATTTTAGGAGGGGCGCTCTCTTTGGTTTTATTGTCGTATCCCAATTTTTACCGGCAATATTGGGATATCTCAAACTAGAAGCGATAGTACAAGACACAATTAGTCTAGGCGCGTTGGGATATGCAAAGAAGCATAAATATGACGGCGGAGACGAAGTATGTAAAATACTTGCTGATATATTGCTGCATCTGAGAGATCTTGGCTGCTTGAAACATATTTTATAATGTGAGATAATTTACATAAAATGCATATAAGATACAAATTATATCGATTAGTAACTATGAAGTATATATGGCGAAAGATTTTCAAGTGATCAGGTGATCAGGTAATATAGATTCGTAATTATATTAAAGGCAAAAGATTTATTTTATAAATATTGTTGTCTTTCTCTCGTTGTCATTTCTATATGAGAAATATTAGTTACATTATAATACAAAGACCGAGTTGCAAGTGTAATTAGAGGCGAAATATATTGAATCACGTTCGACTTTAAGGTGTCTTGTGCGATATAATACGGATAAAATTGTATATCATAGTTAAAAACTTCGATATCGCAATAATATTCAATTCAAAGGAAGTAATGCAAACGCGTATAACTAACAAAAACATAAATAATAAATAAACATATCTTATTTTAATAATAATTAAAATTCAGATGAAAATATCTTGAAACATAGTATGTATATTTTTTCAAAAAATATATTTATAATGTATAAATTATAATCGTCAAATCATAGCTATTTGATTTCAGAAATTTACTATGAGGAATTAAAACAATTAGTCCAAGGTGTATTTTATAATTGTCAATTTTATATTAAATTTAGTATATTCAGCTACAAAGTGTTATAAAAATATTTAAAGAAACACGGTAATGTAAAAATTATAAAGCACATACGTAATTTACTACTAACCAAATGGCAGTAAAATATATTTTATATATGTCACAAAAAATAAAAATTATATTAATCACCGAAATCATACTAAAACATATTAATACAAACGATATATACTTGATCTGAAATATATTATTTCGATATTTTAACGTTAATAGATTATGTATTAATTTAGATTTGTACGGTACAAGTAGTTTGAGCTAACTATAGTACATACATAAATATAAAGCATACATGGAGAAAAATAAATTTAATAAAAATCCGATAAATATGAAATCTGTTATTATAAAATATATACCTTGTCAAGTTGTGCCCTTTAGTATAAAGGTTGGAAATAAAACCTTTCAATATTGCGATTGTAACATGAGAGATCTATAAAAGTGATACAAAATATTCATACTTGATACTTTATATATTCAAAAAAATTAATTATATAATGTAGACGAAAATATATGCAATAAATAAAATGATGAAAATGGGGATTGTAAATAATATTAAACTTTGAAGAATGAACAGAAATTTTCATTCTATACAGTAATAAATACTGTTTAAATAAAGTTTTCAGCACAATGCGACGTCATTATTTCATGTCTTTTATTCAAAGTCTAGCAACGATTATAATTATAATTATAATTAAAATTGAAATACATTATTAGCAAATAATACTATTACATAATGTCTACAAAGTATTATAAATTTAATTTAAAAAATTCATCCGCATGAGCTCTATATCAAATGTAATAAAACTAAAGTGCGTTTATAAAAGATATTTTACGAAGGATATCAAACAGCATCAAATCTAATACTCTATAAATTATTTTTTAATTATAGAACAGTAATATGTCATATTATAACAGTATAACAATATAATATGACATATAAATATATTTAATTACAGAACAGCATTGTCACAGAAAATTTTATCAATAGCTTCCAGACTATTAATAAAATACTAAGTATTATAAAAATATTAGAAATAATTAAAAATGATTAAAAAATTATTTACAAAGTAGTAATAATAAATAAAAATAGTATTATTTGAAAAATTATGCAGATAGGTCTTGATCCATCGTGATTGTAACAGACGCAACGTCTTGATTGATCAACCCACTATTGACGTCTTCTTCATCATAATCTAATTTTTGTAATTGATCAATTAAAGTTTGACTTTTTCCAAATCGTTTTGTAAAAATATCTACGGACGCTTTAAGTATATTTCTACGCTTTTTTATCATAAATGTAACTCGTGCCAAAGCGTCTCGATCTTGATGGAAATATTTTCCCGCAAATGTGTTCACCTGAAACAGGTTAGTTGAGGATGTTTATCAATAATAAGTAGTAATTTATTCTTATACAACGATCTTATAAAGTATAATTTTTCATTTGACATAACACTAATAGTGCATGGTATGCATATAAATACATTTAATCCTTTAACTGTGGAAGTATATATATAAAATTGTCTTCTGTTTGCAGAAAATATATACATTAACATCCACGAAAATCTATTATTAATTAAAGAAGGCATACATCACACATATACTTATATGTACATGTATATTAATATTCAGTACTCAATTATTATCAATTCACAACACAGTAATATTCTTAGATTTAATTACCATATTATAAAAATTTAGTTCTAAACCACGCGCTAGTATTTCTCAATTTCAAACACAGCTTTATAAGATACAAATATATAGCCCAAAAATATGAACAAAATAAATTATATATATTAATGTAATTATGTAAAGTTGCATTAATCTATAATTCCAAACACGATGAACGTTTGATTTTAAGCGCGCTACAGTTAAAGGATTATCAATAGAAAAATATAAGTATGAATTCTAGAATCATAAAATCTACCATGGACAATTGTTCGTTAGAATAAACATTTTGATATACAGTAAATAACGTTTGTGTTGCAGGAAGTAATCTGTAAGAACAAAATAATATATTTATATAATTAATGTATAAGATAAATTTATTTAAAAAGAATAGAATATATATTTGTAAAGAGATATGTATTACCTGGGTTTTATAATATCAAAATTTGCTAATATGTAGTCAAGGACCAAATCGTTGCGTGCATGTTTTTCAAGAATTAAATTGAAGATAAATACATGGTCCAGATCCTTAAATAATTTAGTATTTGATGCTGTAATATACAAATAGTTGATAATGATATCAGGATCTTCAGCACAATTCAAGTTTTTCAAAAGATCGTCATTAGGTGATGTTAGCACATATCGTTCCATCATTTTATCCCAAGTAGTCTTATTAGCTACCGCCAAACCAAAGCAGTACGTCCAATCTTGCCACCAGTATGGAATCCTAAAATACATATGTGTGTATGGAAAAGAGGTACATGCATTTCATACGCATATAGCCGACGTTTTATTTTATCAAGTGTTTTGTATTTTTTTCCGTTCTGTTAGATAAATCTTATTTTGCAAAATTAAGTGTCTGTCGTGCGCTGTTCTGTCACTCTATATTAGCCACGTGACCATAAGACTAATACGTGTGAACACAGTGAATGAATAAATAAATGAAAGATGAATCCATCGATAACGTCTCTTGTTATTATATACGATACAATATTTTTACTTGTTTTGCATATTTATTTTATGTATTAAAACAAGAATAAAAATTAAGAAAAAACAATAAAGAGACTGTCTGATTTCGACGACTCGAAGAAATAAAAGGAATCGATTACATCCATATGCATACGTGCGCGCGCATACGCAACACACACGCACAAATATAAAATATAAGATAATCATGACCACACACACACACACATAAAGTTACTTGTGATTATCAGGATCCGCCAAATGTTCGCTTAATTTAACGGCGGCGTTTTTTTTGCATTCCGCGTGACCGACGGTACATGCCCATTTCGTGGCCTCTAGCCTTAGTAACTTAGTGAGATCGTCATCATCAGGATTTTCTTCGTATCCCAAATGTTGAAGAACCCCATTAAAGTTTTGTACCATGTATAACTAGAAATCATGAGATAATATTGAATTTTATATTAGTTTGTTGGGGTACATGCGAAGTTACGTGATTCATATATACAATGTATGTATATATATATATATATATATATATATATATATATATATATTGTTAGTAATTGTTGCCTTAATTGTTAAAACATTCACTAGAATTCACAAGGATTATTGGTGAGCTTGCGCCTAAGTTTCCCTAACGTCCATTCGTATTAATGTTAATTAAAACGTTTTCTATGATTGTGCGATTATAAAACCGACCGCGACAGACTTTATGACAAAGCGGTGAATGTGTAAATGCAGAACTGGCCAAATTAAAGAGCCAAATATTTTTTTCATCTTTATAAAATCTGTTATTACATACCTTGAAACCTTTACTCTCTGGCAGTGAAAAGTACTTCTCATTCCGTTCTAATATTCGGAACATTGGACGCCATGCCACATAATCTCTCTCAAATGTGTAGTAAGCAATAAGATAATTGAATATGTAGCTTTCTAGTTGGTCTTCGAGCAAAAAAGCATATGCATCATCGATAATTTGAGCACGATTAAGAACGTGTATTTTCGTGTGATCTTGAGAGCCCAAGAAAGGTATGATTTTTTCGTAAATTCCGGTATCGTAATAGACACGACAGTATGCTGTAGAATTATCCATTAAATTTATTATTAGATCTTTTTGTTTGAAATTATCAAGGTATATTTTCAAATACTGACATTTTGATTAGTGTAATAAATAAATTTTATGTAATTTGCACCTTACAATTGTTACAAAAAAATGTACATTACCAATGTACTTCACCAATGAATTATCAATGTAATTCACCAATGTATCGAAGAATATTATAATTATATAAATTTTGAAGCTTCTTTTTGATAAAAAAATATATTAAGAAATGAATATATTGTAAAACTTTTGTGTTGATGAAGCAAATAAGATAGATATAAAAGGGCGTAAAATTTATTGATTTATACCAGTTTGTTGTAGATTGACGATAATCCAACCAAGAGTATTAATTGGTATTCTAAGAGTTTCGTCTGGCTCTAACCAAAAAATGGGCATAGTATTGGAAAAATTCAGACGGCTCTGGTCAGTGTAGGTTATGGGTATCCACCATTTATTATTGGTACCTTCAGTTGCGTGGAAACATTTTTGTGTTATTATTAGTTCACCTGCATTTTTGTAATTATTAGTGTGGTAATTCATCGTTACATTCAGCACAGGATAACGATTTTGGACTATCCACATATCCATCACTTCTTTTATTCTGATATTCATATAATATCGATATCTAGGGGGGTAAGAAGGTTCGTCTTCAGCACTTTGTATGGCCCTCCAGAAATCATCGGGAGTGACCGCCGAATATTGCCTAAATTTGAAATATGACATTGTCATTAGCTTATAACACATACGTCGTATGTATTTATTTACTATTACAAAATCAAACGTGAGCATTAATGTACAATTTAATTAATACATATGTAGAAACTAAGAATATGATTTAAAACTAGCTTATCGTTAGTCAAATTATAATTAAGGAATAAAGTATGGTCTCTTCTAATCGAATAGCATTGGATATTGAACGCACAAGTTTATGTCTCTGATGTGACGTTTTATATTTTCCAACGTAAACGCAAGAAACATTATACTTATGATATTTAATGTTGCGATATGTAATAACTATAATAGACTACATTGTACATACATACTTACTTTGTAGCGAAATACTTGGTGATACCCTTTCGAAATACCTCGTCGCCCACTGCATGATGTAACATGCGCAATATAGCTGGAGCTACGATACACAGCATAAAATACTGATTAATAATACGTATAAAGTATATTTTATATACTTTTATACATAAAATAAGGCATATGTGAACGTATTGCGCAAAACGAGAATTTGTTGTCTATTCACTTTCTGTTCCACCTCTGTCTTCGTGCTATTCTACATTAAGCTAATCATGGACGATAGTTTCATTTTATTTACATAATTGTACCTTTTTCATGAACTTGATCAACAAAGAGTTGGTTATCCAAGGTATCGTCATCATAAAGATTCAATGTAACAGAACCCAATAAGCCATCATCTAGATGGAGAGCATGGTGCATGGCCCCAGTAACGAATAAGTCCATTGACCGCGAATCTTTAAATCCAATTTGCAACTGTAACAGAAAAAAATTCTTTGATATGGCTGAATATAAAAATTCGAAGAAAAGTTCGCAATTATAGGGATACAAACCTACATGTACGCCACTTTTAATAACTTTGCTATTTTAAATTTTATTGTAATTTATTTATGTCAAATGTGTTAACCGTTTCACGTATATAATTTTTTTTTAGAAGATCATACTTTAATTATTTTTTAAGGTAATGTACATTACTGAATACAAAGATAAAATCAAGATATAAAAATTCTAGAAGTTAAATTTTTTTTGTTAAATATTTATTGTTATGGATGCGAAAAATAAAATACGTTTAAATTCTAATAAAACTATTACAATAATAATCATTGTATCGTCAAATATGAAAATTATGTTGAAACATAAGAGATTAAAAATAGTAAATTTTTAATATGAGCTTGGGAGGAGACAAGTACTGAGAACATAATATTCTCGAATTTTAATAGAAATTAGTATTAAATGTTTCGCTCTAGTTATTCGCGGAAAGAACAGCGTTACAATCTTTTTTATAATTCTAAATTAAAGAATTGCCATTAGTTATTTAGCTTTGTCTGATACATTTTATAAGAATATAGAAATATTTAATGGATGTTATTTTGATTTTAGAGACTGAAGTGCATTTCCAACTTTTCTATTTAACGAGCAATTCATTGCATTAGTAATATTAAACAACCTTGTCGAGGAAATACGCCTGGAAATACACAGCAAATCCCTCATTTAACCACATGTCAGTCCACCATAATGGGGTGATGAAATTGCCGAACAACTGATGTGCTATTTCATATGCTACTAACGACGCCACTTCTTTTCTCCGAAATGTGGGATCTCTGCTTTCATCGTAGACAACTTTTGATTCGCTAAAAGGCAAAACATAATATAATATTCAAAATGTAATTATGCCTAGTTTTTTTTCATCGTTAGCATGCAGTCTAATGTGTAATTATATATATATATATATCATTGAAAGAAAGGGTGACATTCACATCAATTAAATACGTTAATTTGTTTTAAAACAGCCTAAAAATGGAAATATATAAATGAAATTTAAATATCCATAAAATACACATGTGTTTTTTATCGTTTTTAATTATGAAAATTTGAATGCTAGAAGTTATTCGTCAGTTCTAATAGCTTCATATTAATTTCTTTTATTCATGTACATATTAATAAATCTCTTTGGTTATCAATATTACAGGTAAATGATGATTCCCCAATTTCCCATCGAGGCCTTGGTATAATCTGGTATCATGACGTGATCTATTTTCGGTACCCCTTT